CCCCTCCTTACCATTTATTGGATTTTCTGCAATCGATTGGGCGAAATTAAGGACTTTAAAAGCTTCAATCACGATGTGGACGCTAGTTACTTTGCATAGAGGCAGTTTGGCCAAAGAGATAGATGCGTAGCGTCAAGATTTTCAATCATTCGAGATGATTGAGGGAAATTAGATTTGGGAATTTTTCCAGTCATTATAAGACTGCGATAGGAGGCCAATTTGTAATGTAAATTGCTATTTCTTTCAAAAATTCTTCATGAAGAGAGAGAGATATATATATTGTCTTAATTGTCATTTTGATCATTAGTTTCTGCAATATGAAATGTTTAGAACTTATATAATATTAAAACTGTTTTTTTCTAAAATTAGAACAGAATGTCCGGGAGGAATAAATCTTGCAATGAAGATTTGCGTTGGATTTTAACTCTGCTAATGAAAAATAAAAAACAAGCCGAATGCTGAATTGCTTCAAATTATGCTCATAATTGACTAACAAAATAGAATAACAGTATAATTATTATTCCAATCCATTATCAAATAAAATCATTTTTATCAATTGTGAATAAGTAATTTGGGAACAACTCATAAATTTGCACAGGATACTGTCAAAAGACCCCCTTACCAATTTAATTTGCCCGACATTTCTGTTGTACTCTCTTGTACGAACGAATAGCAAAAGCAGTTACCTTGCCAAGAGTAATGAAGCAATAAACTTTTCGAAATATTGGCGATCGAAAACATACTTTAAATTTGTAATGTTTGAGAAAAAAGCAAATAATTTAGGGAAAGCAATTGCTAGCTCATTGATAGAAATAAATCTTCAGTTAGTTCATGCTAAATTTCTTTAACTTAATACATAAAGGTTAGGAATAACTTACTTTGGGGGAGGCGATGAAGCTTTAAGATCCATATTTTGAAATCCCGCGGATCTGAACAGGTTTCCCAGTCTGCCATTTTGGTTCAAGCTCACCAACTCACTACCACCTGTGGGGTAGCAGCATCTGTTCTCCACAGGCATTTCTCCAGCCGCCTCAAAGGGCCTGAAGCCCACTGCCTGATTATACGACGCATAATCGGAGGACTGAAAAACATCCGCATTTGGAATTCCTCCACAGTAGTCCGTTGCAGGTATATGGGAGAATTCATCTAATCCGCCAGAGTAGGCTTGAGTACCCGCTGTCCCCTGTGGATTTGATACATTGTCAGTAACAGTACTACTTACGCCACCGCCTTCACCACCGCCACCACCACCACAACTACTACTCGGATCCATAAGGGGCACGTGTCGCTGAATATCAATTCGAGGTGTATCGGGAGTTTGATTGTTGCCAGTTGGATATAAGCCGACCATGTTACAATTACACTCAACGTTAGAGAGGGGGAGTGTGAATATGAGAATCGTTACGATGTAACCTTTAACAACAACAGTAGCAAAAGTAGCAGCAGCAACACTTAATAATATATTGGGACAAAGTAACGTACTACGCACTCGCCTCGTAGTATCGATACTTCCGCTGCAATGTCACTAATATTAACAACTCTGCGGCTTCGTTAATGTCTCACAGCTCTCTTTCACACACTCTCTAAATACCACTCCTCCAATTGGTTGACGCAAGGGGTCTTATCAACCAATCGGAGATTGGTGCGGTGGGTCGTGACCAATCAGAGTTTTGATATGACAGGTGAAGCTGCTATATTAATGGTCAAGAGTATGGTATTTATAGAGCTCTTTCTTGCTGCAATGCACCGATTTAAATTTAGGCAAAGAAGCTTCCATAGGGCTAATTTCGGCAAAATAATCTTCCCAGCTTCTTATTCAGTTTTAGCAATAAGAAGTTTCAATATTCCGATATTTACGAAAATTAAATTAAGATCTGTGCAATTCTGTAATTATAGAATCAAAGTTAGTATTTTACAATGGGCCAAAAATGTGAGGTGAAGATTATTAAAGCAACTGACCTATAGGAACCTTATTTAGATTTAAATATTTAACTAACACTTGACTGTGGGAATATTTGAGGTACCTCATGCATGTCAGTACTAGAGACTCGCTGTCATTTTAGTGATTAACCAGTTGGCAAACGAAATAACGAAATAGCTTATAAAAGCAGGAACTTCATAATATTGAGCCAATGGGCTTTTAGCACTAAATATCTTAGAGTTCAGTCATAATGACTTTATAAACCATATCGAGTTTTCAGTTTTAACCTAGGTCCAAATTAGAGCAGGGTAAATGTCCCAATTAAAGATGCCTTCTTTATCACTATCATGCCTATTATAAGATAATTTTTCCTTAAATTACTATCTATCTGAGTAAAATATACACACACTACTCGAATTAATTTGCTATAACTTATCAAAATACGTGGTTAAATATCAGTGTTTTTTCCTGTTACCACTCTTACAAAGATAAAACTTGAAGCTGCGTTTCATAAAAGCATCCTTTAATGAAAATTGTCGATTCTACCATTTTTGATAAGTGCACCTTTTATGCTACCATTAATTAAATATGTTTTGTTGAAAAATTATTTGACAAATAATTCTTCCCATTTAAAAATAAATTTTCATGCAGTGGTAATTTTATTGCACTAAAATGATATTTCTCGATTCAAAAGATATTGACGGTAAAAGGGAGTAGAAAGCCTTCCATATCAAAATCAAATTGTCCGAATGTCACTTCTCTGATGGTCACCCTTATTTATTGAAATGTACATCTAAAAGTTCATGCTTTTATTTCAATGACTCATGCTAATTTATTATTCACAGATCATGAGTGAAATTAAATTAACTGAAGGCTTGTAAATGCCGTAGTTCTAAATATCAAATGGACAATTAAAATAAATTTGACATAATTTCATGGCAATATTTTATTTCAAATACCTCGTATTAATTTAAATTTGATTTATTTACAAGGTTAGTCCCCTTGTGTCTTGTTGCCTCAGGGATAACCAGCAACGCCAACTCATGGGAAATTTTTGGAATTTGAACATCTGTGTGCGCGCGTGCGTGTGTGCATGTCTCTGCTGTGACGCAGCACCTGGTCTTCTTGTTGTTTCGATACAGAACGGAGGTTTTCTTTTAATTAATTTTAACTCTTCCCTCGTGGACAACACAATATTAATTCCAAATGGCCACTGGTTATGCACATGGACAGTAATCTCTACTGCTTTCATATTCGATCTTGAAAATAAAAGCTGTCAATATTGATGTGGGCTTTATAGGTGATTCAGATACTTAGAATGGAAAGAGTCACATTTCACCAGAAACCAGGTATATCACTGTTCAAATTAATGGCATATTTGTCTATATATTCCACTTTTATTTGGATACACTACATTCCTCTAATATTTTCAAAACCAGCTCGAGATAATCCTCGTTTTGATATCGTCAAGACGCGTTCAATTCCTCGGTTTAAATTCACTGCTCCTTTATAATCAATTTTGAATAGATTTGATTGGATACTAGCCTCGCTGAATTCGAAATAAAAAGTGATCGAGTCTCTTACACCTTGCCAGCATAGTTGTGGATGTCTTATCAACCGTTGTGAACTCATCCAGTATTCCTTGAATGCACACGTCCATTTGTCCTTATTAATAGGGATCAGTTGGGTCTTAAGCAACAACTTTTAAATGGTCAGCCTAGGATATTTGACCTTCTCTAAAACAAGTGGTCATACTCCAATCACATTTGGGACTTTCCATCCCAACATTCATTAAACCGGGGTGCGTAATAGACTTACCTTCACGTGATGCACCCTGGGCAACGTATACTCATACGGCAAACAAGTCTATTAACTGGCAGTTAACTTCTCACTTCAAACTACCAGAACACCCCACTCTATGTCATATTCGACTACTTCCACAGTACTAGCCTCACATTTTTTTCTACCTTTGTGCCTGTCTCTTTTACATCTTTGAATCACTCTTCTGTTCCCCCCTCCCCACCATCTCGACTATTTTTCTCTTTGATGTTCCTTCCCCTCTGTGAAGCCTGAAGTCAACTAAAGGGCTAATGATAACTATCATAATGCCTGCCCTTTGATATAAATAAACAAATGTTAGGACAATAAAGAATGCTAAATCTATGAGCGCATAAAAGATTAAAAAAGTACACTGAGAAGTGTAGTTGAATGCATCTAGAATCCGAGCCTTCCCATTGCCAAATCTACTTCCCTATTGGTATGTTCACTCGCTAGTGCTTCCGTGTTAGCTCGGATAATTGCTAGTCTAACTAACTTCCAAATTTTGTGCAGGAAATTACTGTGAAAGGGAGACAAAAAGAGAGTAGTTCACCAATGCCTCAGAGATAGATCTTATAAGAAGGAGTTTGAGAAAACTAGTTTCTGAGGGAACTAGAGTCCAAAAATAGAAATGATTTCAAGACCCCCTCCCCCTCATCAACTACTCAAGATATTTTGCCATTACTTAACCTAATCTAAATGAATTCTATAACATTTTAGCAGTTCTTAAGGTTGTCACGAATAAACCTTGCTCACAACACTAATAGATATTAGTCAGAATATACCTGTATGATTTAATCTTATAATATTAATTTACTAATACAATTTAAGTAGTACAACGGTAGCATTAATGACCTGGAGCCTTGGCATATAAAGGAAATTTCCCTGTGCACATAGAACATTCCAACAAAATTTGTTACTAAAGAAGATAAGTTTAAAAAATGACATAAACTATCATAATAATTAAGTTTGAATAAAATTAAGATAATACACTAAATGCAGAACTGAAGCATTTAAGACAGTAAATAAAGCGAAAAGTAACCTCTAAAGCAAAACGTATCTATTTCACTGAAATAAAATGAAACAAAAGGCAGCCATTGGAGAACAAGATAATAGAGAGATCCCATAGTAACATAAACTGCTTTTGATATGTCAAACCGTCTAACCGACATTGGGCGTTAGATGACTAGAAACTCCCATCGATTGCAAAGCCATATTTTAAAATAAAGTTTCTGGCACACCCTTGGAGACTAATGTAATTGAACCCGGGATCAAAGGTGATTTCTAAGAACACCACTTGAAAGAAGCATGTTTACAAACTTATTGAGAGTCTGGACTCATTTTAGAGCAAGTGAAGTATTCTAATGAATTAAGAATGCGCATATGTTCTAAAAATTGCATTCTTACTCAAAGATGTGCCAAAGCTCAAATTACATAGGAGTAGCTACTTCATACAACACCTAGCATCGATGCGACAAAGAAAAAGAGTAATTAAATGCCAAAATTGGCAATTTGATGATTACGTTGGATTACGCATTCATTCCCGAGCACCATAAAAAACATTAAGCAATTGGGAATAGGAAGAAGTGAACAGATTCACCCTAGCCAGTAATAAAATAAGATTATATGAACCAAATCCGGAATTTTGTATTCTTACTACACACTAAATTTATTTATACAGATTAAACAACAATGGTTTATTACTAAGGGATTATGCTTAGTACTTTAATCTAAAAAAATAGGTTTTAAAGGGAAAGATGAATTAAACTAGTTGCGCAAACTAAAGCTCTGAAATTCCAAAAATGTGAGAGACATAAGCCAATATTTCAACCAAGGTAAGTTTACCTGCACAAGCAGACGAATTTGAACTGAAGTGGAAATAAGGAGAAAAACATTTGTCACTTTTTACCATGTTAATTCATAACGCTACATTTTTTGTGGTTGATCATACATGAACAGAAAAAAGGCTCTCTATACCACAAGCCGGGTTCCCAGTACTGGTGTTATTTCTCCTTCCAATTCCGAATTCATGCCTTCTCCTTTTTCTTCAGAATCTCAACCCCTTCCACTTAAACAACATGTCCATGGTCTTCTCACGTGGGAAAGTTTACTGTTACTCTTGTTGACACAGAATGATTATTATTTCTAATTTGGTAGGACTCTAGAAGCAACTTTACTGAGACGATTTATTAGTAATTTGAATGAACATAAGCCCAAGATCTTGAAACCTGAAATCTAATTAGATTTTTCCTCTGACAAAACCGAGCTCCAACCTACCAATAAGGGAGAGTTTTTCTCCAACACTCTTACCTTCTACTATCGAAGGCCATAGCGTAATAATGCTTACGTAATCTTCTGTTAAAAATGAATAATAAATGCCGACTTCTGTTTGAATGTATGCAACTTCAATCACTAGTGTAATAAATGCTTGCATGTGATTTTATTGCAAGTAATATTATTAATTACAATTTACCCATATACTCGATGTGCTAAAACCACCGAGAATTTGCTTTGCTAGTCTTTGAATTTGGCAACTAAGCGGATTTAGTGTAGAGCTTGTGAATGGTTCACAATGACACATCGACGAGGATTCGCAAGAAAAGATGCGTCTACACAGTTTTCGATAAAACAAATTATTGAATTACCTTTTCAATTAAAGATTACGCATTTTTCGGCTGGTCAGAGGTAAAATGGTGCATAATTTAAATTTTATTCAGGCAAAATCCAAAAATATTATAACTGTTAGAAATGACAAACGAGGCAGATTTCCGGAAAAAACGAATTCTTAGAAGTATTGCAACGAAAAATATAGGACAACAGAGTAAGCAATAATCACATTGGTTTTATTTGGGGTGTCACAGTTAATAATAAAGTGGTGTTTGGTATTAAGCAGAACTTTAAATTATTCGCTCTGAAATGAAAGCGTGATTACGAGAAATTGACTGGAAAATTCATGATAAATTTTGCTTCAAATATTGATAAAACAGCATTCAAAGAGCAGAACAAACCGTTTGAAAAAATGAAAGTTAAATCCGCCAAAATTTTATAACTCTAATGAGGACTGCTACGCTAAAGTCAGTTAAGGTAATGACATGTGAGTTTCTCCATCTCCCAATCTGCTATGATTGATCACCTGCAAACAGTCAAATGGGATTTTGAAAAGAATTAACAAAAAGCAAGTAATTACAAGATCGCATTCTTAAAAATTAGCATTTATCAGAATATTCGCGGACTTGCCTTAAAAGAGAAGTTCAAACTGGAAGGGCCAAAAACCCCTAAGAATGAAGCTTTTAAGGACAGCAGTTTAAAGCGCAGCCAAAACTATGTATGAATATTACATCGTACTTCACAACCTATAGGGTAGCGTAGTGGTCATTGTCTATGGAGTCGGGGGGCTTAAAATTTCTACTTCTATTGATTAGAACTCAGTGAATGGGATAAATGTGGTGTAATAATTACTACCGATCAATGAAAGGGTTATAGAATGTTAATTTTTCATTAGAAGGAAGCGAGCCCTATTTAAAAGGGACCTGGGAATGGTTAAATGGAATGTATTAATTGGTACATTAATGTAGACGTATGGAGAAGAAAGACAGCATACCAGTTGGAGGCACGAAAGCAAATAGAACTTTCCAGAAGACAGTGAGAAAATGCATAACGTAGTCCTTGCAAGAGGGCATCTTCACTTCACCCTCGGCTATCTCCTCTAAGTCCTCAGCTAAAATCAGAAAATAAGATACTAAGGTTTATAAGATTGATCCAATATATTTAACACTCATTCCGGTTAATTAAAAGTAATATTATTCAAAAAACTTGACGTATTAAAGATTACGTAAGCGTTTACGATGGGTTAAAAACGCTGAAAGATCCTAACCATTCAAAAAGGTTTAGATATTTCATCAGGGTTAAAAACGCAAATCGATCTTCTCTTTAAAGGAGAGGAGAAGAGGGGAATTCTTTGAAACCGCAAAAAAACGAAGAAAACAGCTCTAACTAAATGAACTAAATTTGAAATAGTTGTCTTCAGCGGAAATGGTTACTCCTTTGTTCTCGTGGTTCTCGTAAGATAGATATGGCAGTTGAAGAACGAATTTTGTTAAGTTCTGGTCTCCTTAGTGCCATCGTCCATTCGATACACAATTAGTTAGTAAAGCAATAAAAAGAGGGAACGACTAATCCGACATACGACCCCTTTAAATATTTCAAAAAAGACGAAAAAGCTAATCGCGATTGTGTTTTTCGAGAAAAATTGTTTTCAAATTTAAAAGAACGGAGTACTTCACATGTACATGAACAGAATTTACCTGCGTTGACGGTTATAGCATCAACGAATTGTTCTTTCCATGAGGAGGTTCCTACGAGAAGAGCCCATTTACCATGTTTGATGAGACGATCTACCGTATTCTAGAAAATAAAAAAACATAACAAAATTAAATGCCATTTAAAATTGTTAATATCCTGACCGTCTCACTCCAGCTCTGGTTGCCTTGCAGTACAGCTCTAAAGTCACCACGTTAATCGACCACTCTAAATAAACGTCCCCCTTTGCGCAATCGGTAGCGAGCTCCAAATATCCCGAGGTATTTGCAGTAGTTAATTGTGATTATTAAACACACCTACATCCCTTACACTAGGAAGCCGACAAATATGACGCAACGGCGACTTAAACCTTAGTATGTGGGCGGAAAATGTGCATGCCGTCTTCAATTTAGAGTCAGTAAAAGAAAACAATATTATCATTATTTTAACATTTTAGGCCGGAACGATATCTTAAAACTGGAAGTCTAAACCCAGTGCTGAATATGTTTTTAATGTAAGAAGTACCACTTGAACGCCCGTGATAAGTGCGTTGGATTAAAATGAGTTTATACCGACACAATTAACTGGTGTGGAAGAGACTAGCCTTGCAAAGTTCATTTGGTAAACATCATCTAGCTCTTCGATGAACCCAGTCACACCCCTTTAGAAGAGTTCTAACAACACTAGAGAAATGAATATTGTTCAACATGCACTAGCTCACCTTGAGCTCGGTGCTCTCCTTAATATTGACACGTAGCTTGGAAAATTGGCCAAGTCGAGGCATTCCAGTATCTACACCATCGTTTTTGATTGCTACGAGTTCCGAAGGATCAGAGGGCTGATTCAGACCATCGGTTCTAATGTTCTTCGTAGTGACTGCTGTCTTTTGGGTGTCAGGGAACAATTTCTCGGTCACAATTGAAAAAAAGTTTCTAGAATCTGGAGAAAACCGATCTGTTAGATTAGACTATAAGGAGCAACAAAGACCAAAAACAAAGCAAAGCAAAGCTTAAGGCATTTTCATAAAGAAAATTTATAACACTGTAGCTTGCGTGATAGCCTGTCTGATCGTGAAGAAATCAAAGCGGGCAATTCTAGCCACCCTCACAGAACTGAGTTTATACAAATATGGCAACATGCAAGAAAACAAAGCACAAGGCAACGGGGCTAGGACAAAAACTAACATTTGTCTGGAGGTGACAAGATCCCAAATACCAGAAAAATAAATATGCCACATACTTAAATTTAGAGTCTTGGAGAAACTATACAACTGTCGTGACCACTACACTCTAGATCTAAGTTGACTGCAGTGGTCATATTCATAATAGAGCAGATTGAAATACTGAAAATATCTCATAATAATTGACGCTTATAGAAGGAATCATGTGTGACAAGAATTACAAGTTGTTGAGAACATTTGCAGCATCAATCACCATAGCAATATTAGCGATCCGACTGATTATTGAACATTGGCCTTGATTACTACGTGCAGTTATCACAATCTCATAAATTTAAAGATTAGTTATCATGTTCTCAAGAAATTCAGTTGAGCTCTATACACGTAATGACTGTGCCTTATCGGTAATATTACCATTTTGGAATAAAAATATTGTTTTTTAAGGTTCTGAGCTTCTAAACGCAGCCTGGCAACAGAAGCAAAAGAAATGCCAAACTACTAACAACAAATCTAAGTTCAATTAATCAACGAAAAGACTATCTTACCCAAGGCTTCTTCATCTAAAGTTGAAATGGCATATATTATTAAAATTCACTTTGAAGTTTTATCCAAATAATTTTTGTTCAGTACAAATAGCTAGGACTTGTATTTAAGTAAAAAGATTGTTGCAATGCCACCTAAAAAGTGGAATTACTCCGTCTCCCATCAGTCTTCCCGACCAAAGTATATCGTGACCAAGTTAAACGGTTTTAGGGAGTCCTTAGAATATGTAAATTAACAAAAATTCCTGTTGCATAGAAAAAAATGCTTCACTAATCTTACACGCGTTATAAGCGCCTAGGTATTGGAAAGAAATAACAAAGAATTATAGAGCATGAAATTTGAACCCTATGTGTGAAACTTTGTGCCCTGATAAAAAAGCGAGCCATCTGAACTAATTTCGAAAATTAAATTAATATGAAGGAACAATGAAGAATGATAAAATAATGACAAATTAAGAGAGCAAATTAAAATTTGACTTCGTGGTTTTGAAAATACCCACCTATATTGGCAGGACCAATTTAAAAAACACAGTCTTCGGGGAGTTTGCAATGTGTAAACGAAAATCCATAGACCTTCCTAAATGGCTTCATTCTTTACAGTAAGTGATTGATTTGTTGCAACTCAAAAAATAAGAAGTAGACACTAAAGGGAGATCTAACTTGTGGAAAGCTCAAAATTCACTTGAAATAATAACAAGAGTTGGTAATGATGCCATTAACGTAAGATAATAGAGGAGTAATAATATTTGAGCTCCATTTGACACTTAATCAAAGTCCCCGGGAAGGCGAAAATTCCCACAGCTTTCACATGCGAATGAAACTCAAATACTGAGTGATAAGGAGAGGGGAACACAAAGGATGTAAACAACTGAAGCGCCAACGGTCGGTACTTCTTTCATCTTTAGATTCGAGTTAAGCAATTTACACATGCCTGGTCACCTAGTTCTCTCAGCAAATTCTTCTCCTTCTTCGCAATATCCAGTGCTGATTGGCCAGTTACTCAATCCAGAGGTTGGACTTTGTTAAGGAAATGCTTTTCTTCCCAAGAAGGAAGCAAAACATTTTACATGATAGTAATGGTGAAGAACTGGGGCATACTAAAATTAGGATAATTGCTCCTATTCTTTTAAGAGACGGGGTGTGCGATAGACTTACCTCCACGTGGTGCACCCTGGGCAACGTATACTCGTACGGCAAAAAAGTCTATTAACCGGCAATTGACTTCTGACTTCAAAATACCATGGCACGACTGCTTGTCATATTCGACCGCTTCCACAGTACTCATCTTACCCTTTTCTCTGCCTTTGTGTCTGTCTGCCTCTTTTACATCTGTGAATCGCTCTTCTGTTCCCCACCCCTCGACTTTCTGCTACTTTGGTGAACCTTCCTTCTGTGAAGCCCGAAGTCAATTAAAGGGCCAATGATAGCTATCAAAACGCCTGC